TGTGTGTGTGTGTGTGTGTGTGTGTGTGTGTGTGTGTGTGTGTGTGTTGTCTCACCCAGTGACAGTGAGCTCAGAGCCATCACTCCGTAGTAAGAGAACGGCCCGCTTTCAAACTTCATGTTTTCATTTCCGGCTTCCACCTCCACTCTCCCCTGAAACACACACACACACAGGACATTTTGTTTAATAAGCACATTATCTTACAGTGTGTATTACACTCATGTGTGTGTGTGTGTGTGTGTGTGTCAGTCAGTCAGGAAGCTCTGCTGTGCAAAATCCAGGAGTGGTCGTCTCCTGTGGCCGGTAACAGAAACACTCTGACGTCCTATAAATATTACATCCAGCTTCAGGTGTCTCTTTACCGCACGCACACACGCACGCACACGCACACACACACACACACACACACACACACACACACACACACACACACAGAGAGCTGCGTGGTGGAACAGGAGCAGCTGTGTTCAGGTTACGCTGAGTGTCTGCAGTCCTTCATCCACACCTCAGGTGTTGAAGAACAAAGCCTCCAACACACAGTGAGTTCATAAAACACTTTCAACTTGAATTAGTTTGAAAGATGTTAAATAAATAAACTGATTGTTTGATACGTTGATGAAGGTCTTCCTCTCTTCCTGCAGAAGAGGAGATTTCTCCTCCTCCTCTTCTTCCTCTCATCTGATTGCCCCCCCCCCCCCCCCTTATATAAGAGGATCTATTGGTGACGGTGGTGCAGACAGAAGCCCCCCCGACACAAAACAACCGCTCCTCTCATGTTCATATTACTATTTATGATGTAATTAATGTTTGTCAGCAGCTTTAATGAGACGTTTCATTTGTTCCTCAGAACAACAATCTGCTGAATATTATAGACAATATCTACTATTAAAAAATGTTACAATTATATACAATGAGCTGATTTAAGTGCAACTATTATGATATTTAACCATTGAAGTCATGTTTTTAAAGGGAAAATTCCAAATATTAATTTATTGCAGCTTCTCTAAGACAAAGAAGACAAAAGAGATATTTCACTGAATAATTAGTTTCTTGGTCACTTTGGTTTAAGGAGATTTTAACTTTCCATTATTTCCTGACATGAGATCAAACGATTCGTTGATTATGTCATAAAATAACTGGTAGAAGAATCAATAATCAAAATAACTGACAGAATTAAAAACACTTAAACGATTTACACTAAACATGGAAGAATCATAAACGTTTGTTTGACACGGATATTATTTACTGTAATAATCCAGAATATAAACGGAAGAATCTGATTGGCTGTTTGTGGAGGGAACCAGTGGTGATGACTTCCTGTTGACAAAAACGGACTTCAGCTCTCTACGAGACGTTTAACAAACAAAAACATTACCAACAAGTATGATATTTATAATTTAATATCAGTGTAGTATTAGTATATCTCTGCCTGATGAAAGAGTCAACATGAAATCCAGTTACTCGTCTTAAGTCGGGAGTCTTAAAGGGTTCGTGAGTTCAGCTCCTCGTGAGTTAATCCTGCTGCAGACTGACGCACCGACACGTTAAACTGTTGTCCTGTAATCTCACCTCGTGGTGACGCGCTGCACCAGCCGGCGCTCTGATCAACGCTTCTCCTGATCATCACTTGTTGATCGGCATCATCTTCAGGACATGTTTCATTACATCCACATCTTTATTCATCGATGTGTCTTTGAGGCTTTAAATACTTTCTTTTAATTATTCTGTATTATGTATTATGATGTTATATTGTGTGTGTGTGTGTGTGTGTGTGTATGCGTGTAAGTGTGTGTGTGTGTCTGTGTGTGTGTGTGTGTGTGTGTACCTGCAGTACGAGGATGAAGTAGTCAACAGCTTTCCCTCTCTGATACAGGAAGTGCTGCGCTGAGCGTTTGTCGCTGTCGTTGAACTTGAGTTCCTGGATGACGTCTGGATGTCTGAGGACCCTCAACAAGACCTTCTCTTTGATCTGGAACGGGCTGAACAGACTCACCTCTGGGGGGGGGGGGACATTTTATTAAAAAAACAACAATAATAATATTACAAATATTTGGATTTTGTAATTAATTCTAAAATGTGTATTTAAATGTTTATATGATTACTTTGGGGTTGAAGCCGTGCACTCTGTGGTTTTATTAGTTTATTCCTAGTTGAATAAACTAAACATAATTAATATATATTGTGTGTTACTGCCTGGAGAGTTGTGCTGCTTGTATTGGTTACAAACTAAACGGAGCACATTTGTGTATTAAACATTAAAACATGATATAAACCTAAACACGAGAGACGATCTGCACCAGAGCTTCAGACCGAGGTCACGTGTCGTGACATCACGTGTCGTGACATCACAGCTCACCTGTCGCCAGGAAGCGATGCGCCGCCAGCATGAGCTGAGGAGAGATCTTCACTTTGCTGTCTCCGTCCTGCTTGAAGGCCGAGAAGTCGGGTTTGTTCTTGTTGGGGTCGACCTTCTTCCTGTTCCTGTTGTCGGCTGCAGAGAGAAGTTCATGACATATGTTGCACCGACCCTAAAACCCTGAATATTATATTAATATTGAGATATCATAATGTGGCAGAAGTTTAGTCTTTTCCTGGTTTTAAAGGCTGCCTCTGCCTTCTTTTATTTTCCTTTTCACACATTCTGTCCACATTACTGATGATTATTATCAAAAAGTCTTATTGTGTAAATATTGTTGTGCTGCTGCGTGCAAACTGTGCAGAAACGCACGATGAAAGAAAACCCCAGCTTCTCTTTTTGCATGATGTCAGGAGTGTTTACCGTCAAGTGTGTGTGTGTGTGTGTGTGTGTGTGTGTGCGCGTGTGACGTCTGCATCTGCTGACTCACTGTAAAGGTCGGACTCATCCAGGATCTCTGACTTGATGATCTCCTCGATGACGTCCTCTAAGGTGACCAATCCCAGCACCTCGTAGAACGGATCCCCCTCCCCCTCGTTGTTCACCTTCTGGACAATGGCCAGGTGGGACTTACCTGCAGAGAGTCAGAGAAAGAGAGAGAGTGAGAAAGAGAGAGTCAGAGAGAGAGAGGGAGGGAGAGAGTCAGAGAGAGGAGGTTACTAACAGGATGAATGGACGGTTTTACATTCACACAAACTGAGCCGTCAGCTTTAGAGTGCAGCCTTCAAACACACATTCAGCTCAATGAAACGTGTTGTTGTTTCTTTCTGTATTTCGGAGGCTGCTGTTCGATCTGTTGGTGGCTTTTATTATGGAGGACAGACTGACGCCTTCATTGAGCTCCAGACTGGACTAAGAGCTTTGCAGAGAAAAGAGCTGGAGGAGCTGCCAAAGCAGAGATAAAGAGGAGGGAGAGCGGATTAATCCTCTCCTCATTAAAAACAGACTCATGTTCACTAACTTCACGAGTAAAGACTGTGAACAGGAGGATGGAAACACCAGGAGCAGCAGCAGTACGTCTCTGGTAGAGACCTGTCAATCACCGTGTAGCCCCGCCCTAAAGCATCCCCTGCTTTATGGTCTGTGTGACTCTAAATGGACCATCATGTACTAAATGAACATCATGCTGTATTGAAGAAGACTTGAAACTAGAGATTGAGACCATAAACTCATGTTTACAATGTTTACTGAGGTAATAAATCAAGAGAGAAGTAGAGTCATTTTCTCATAGACTTCTATACAACCAGAGGAGTCGCCCCCTGGTGGTCACTAGAGAGAATGCAGCTTTAACACATGAAGCACTGAAAACAGCTTATCTCACAAACTACCGGACTCATCAGTATCGATGTTCACTCAAGATCCTTCAAACACATTTACTGACTCCTCACTCCTCTTAACGCTCAACAGTCCCATCAAAACTAACATCCAGAGACAAGTTTGGTCTCATTTTGAAGCGCAGCATTTTCAGATTAATTCCACACCCGATAAGTTATGATCCACTAAAGTTCAGCACGATACGAGATGAATAAGTCAACGTTTCTTTGTTGGGGAGAAAGAGACACACCTGGAGGAAACCTGAACTCTCGTACTGAGAGCATTCTACTAGTTTAACGGACATGTTGGTAATATTGAGAAACCAGCAGAGTTGTGTTAACTCTTTCCAATGAAAGCAGCACTCGCTCCAAAAGTCGTCAACAATAGTGACGGTTGTCGTTAGGATTTTAACGATACTCATATCTGTTCTTTTTTATTACATTGTGATAATTAACGAAGAAAAGAATCCACACTGCTTCATTATCGTTGTTTGTAAACAAAGTCTTTCTTTAGCAGCGATGATGATTCAACCAATCAGAGCGGAGGAAGCGTCTCTGAGTCATCATAAAACATCACAAACACACAACCAGGCCTGCATCATCATCATCATCACAGGAAGGTCAGAGGTCACATCAGTGACTTCACGTCAAGTTAAAGTAAAACTAATCTCAAACTATTTTCATAAATCGCTTAATTGTCATTTTTCAAACCAAAATGCCAAATCATCCAGCTTCTAAAGTGGTTTTCTTTCTCATAAATGTTGTTAAACTGAATGTTTTTGGGGTTTTAGACTGTTGGTCGGACTGAAACGAGACATTTTAAGATGCCACATCACTGTTTCAGAAGATTTTATCGACGATGGGATGAAAAGAAATAATAACTAGAAGATAAAAACCATCAGACTGCTTGACTTTAAAGGAGAGTTTCTGGTACTTTAATGATTTATAAGTGACGGTCGTGCACACAAACAGACACTGTGAAGTGTTCCTCTCACACAGATCACATGCAGACGTGTGACGTTCTCCAGGATCAACGGTTGTGATTTATTTGGCAGCGTCCGGAGCTGAACTCTAAACATTTACAGGATCAATAACTCCGTCTGCTGCTGGGATTCAGGCTCCAGATATTAATACATAATTCATCACCTCTGTGACGTCTGAAACAACAGTGATAGATTATCTGATTTGTGATGAATTAATGATAATACCAGCGCTATAAATAGCCACTAATAGTTATATTAAAATACAGAATAACATAAAGTTTAACGTGTCGTGTTTACAGAAAACATCTGACATCTTGAAATAGCTTCATCTTCATCATCATCATCATCATCATCATCATCATCATCATCATCACAAGCTGAGCCGCTGCTTCATTGTTGCGACGCCCGGCTTTGTTTTTCCGAGGTGTGGATAACAGCGCTGAGATTTCCCGCACTAATCCGGTGCGCCTGAACGTGCACAGTGTGATCCCATCAGCAGCGGATTGCACTGATTAGCTGCTGCGCTGTGGCTGAAGCTGCAGCGCTGACGGAGGATGAACAGATGAAGCTCTGAGCAGCCAATCAATGAAACACCGCCCGGCTGTGATGCAACATCCCGACATGAACACGCAGAACTTCATGTGTCGTTATGTGAGGCCAGATAACATCCAGATGTGTTGACGGGATGTTGGAGCTCAAGCTGGAATAATAACGATTGCTGCCTTCAGCTGGGGATGGCTAGCTCTTTACTTTATTCATTTAGTTTATATATTTATTATTAGTTTAGTCGTATTAAAGTTTTCCTTTTTACTTTGTCATTTTATAATATTTCAGAGGAAAATGTTCATATCTCCTCCGGCCTGATCTTTGTCCTTTGCCTTTGAAATTCCTGCATAAAGTAACCCGCTCGCTAAATTGTATATAAATATAAATATATATACACATGCACTATACACACACACACACATATACAGTATACACACACATATATATCTATATATATACACACACATGTGTGTGTGTGTGTGTGTGTGTGTGTGTGTGTGTTCATGTGGTTAAAAAGCAACGGTAACATGGACACCAGCTCTCACAGAGGCTAAGAGTTTAGCGAGCTATCGAGCGGGTCACTTTATGCAAAACATGGTCTCTTAGCGAGGAGACCGCTAAAACTAACGCAGTAGTTTTTTGTGAAAATGGAAGTTTATTTTGAAAAGACTGTTTTCATGTAACGAGTAGAAAATGACTCGTTTTGCTGAACTTTAGTTTGACAACGAATGAAAAATGATGTCATAAGATATAAGAACCGTAGTGTGAGGATACTTTACATCATGTTGAGTAGAGTAAAAAGTACAATATGTACCTCTGAGATGTAGTACAGTAATGAGTACAATATGTACCTCTGAGATGTAGTACAGTGAAAAGT